TTTCATCCTTGAATGATAGCGGTTCAAGAGATTGTATCAAAACGTCCAAGAGTGGAAATTTTTCAAAAAGGATTTTTGCACCGCTTCTTTTTTTTTGTTTTTGGTTGTAATTTTTCACATAGTTCTGTTACCAGCTGAAGTGTAATTAAACACTGGGGCACTTCATACGCACGAGCGTATTATCAGTGATGGGATGGAACAGTCTATCCTATAGGCTGAAGCATGAAGCAGCTGATAAGGATGCCCGCTAACAAACTACTTGTATAAGGGAACTACTTACAATTCGTACAGCGAACCGTAACATATCCACGTGTTTACGCCACCTTCTACAATATTATCTTACAGATCAGTGGTGGACTTGCAACTGCGATTGAGCAAATCCCTTCATTTACTGCGATGCCGGTCTACGGGTTGAATTGTTTCTCACTTATGAAGTATGACACCGTAGTATTCTCTAGAAGCGCCGTAGATCTACTAGAAGAGCGCTTACTGAAACAGCTTCATAGAGCAGGCCCTCTAAACAAAAAATACAGGTGAGTCATATTTATGTGAGATACGAATTTTATAAGTGAAGGCTCTTGCAGATATATGGACTACAAAGAGCGGATACTGAACGAAGGCGAAGGAGAAGACGATCCCGAACAGCCTCCTATAGTTTAAATTATAGAAAATTAAAAAGTTGTACAATAGAAGACTTTAACTCTTAAAATTCCTCATCCCAAATAATTGAATGTGACATCTTTCTCGAACTTTAAAAAGTTGTATAGTCATACATAAGCTGTTATCTTGTTGCATGCAAAATGTTGGTCCTCCTCAAGGCTAGACCAGGGATTGAGAACATTACTGCCTTTTTTTGCTCCAATGATGAAACTATGTCAGATGGTTACTATTCTGCATACATACCATACGTAAGAGATTTATGAGATCATGTGGGTAGTGGTCTCATTGCTGGAATACTATAGAAGAGCTTGTAAACTCGTTGTTACGTGGCATTTGTACAGCAACATTTGCTTTTTGTTGACAGTGTTCTTTTGAATCCTTTTATCCAAGTAAAAAATTCTACTCAGACTTTCTTCTTTGATGTATGTCGGAAGTCGTTGTTCATATTTTGCAAATGTGCCTTTTTTCAGTGTTATTCCGACATTGTCTTGGAGCAGGGATTTCAATCACTTAATTTGTAGACAATGTCAGCGCCTGATGGGGCTGGCAGTAAGCAGATTCCGTTGGCTCAACGGATCCTAGCACTCCAGGCACGTAACAAAAAACAGTTGCACATGTGTGAGGCTAGTCGCACTTCACAAAGTAAGTTTGCATTAATAATGCATTTAGCTGCACTTTCGTAAGACATGGTGTCTTTCTTCCTGAAGGCGATAACGGTGCAAATACGATGAAAGTGACCTATTAAGCAGACATTAAGATTAGGGTCCCTCTAGCTTTTAATGCATCTGTTTTGTTTGTATCGAAGCAATGTTTATGCTGCTGGCTTTGGCATAAAGATTGTTATGGCCATTTTGAACTTTTGCTTATTAATGAGTCTTAGCTGCTTTTCTAGGCGAAGGAAATAAAGAGAACAGCTACCTTTCCTCATCTATGACCTGCAGACAAAATAAGACAGCTCCACCTGGCGAAATGTTTGACATGAGCAAGATGAACGATAGTTTGGGTGTATGTTCAAAGTATTTACTCTTTTGACTTCAACTTAGCGAGCAACTCGTTCCTGCAGATCGTTCGTCATAATGTGAGCACTAGTGCTTCGGACCATCAACATCGAGAAATTAAGATTATCACGCGAACACTCAAAGAGCGTCACTTGGGAACACCAAGACAAACTCCGAAGCTTTCAGCTATACCAGAGAAGATCAGTGCTAAAGACAGGTTGAATCTCTTTGCCCATTTTGTATTACATCTTACCCATGTTCTTTGGGAGCTTTTATTTTGAATCAATGGACATGATTTCATTTGTTTTAACGCTCATTTTTTCCCATAATTGTTAAGCTTTGACCAGATTTCTTATATAATTGAAAAACCCTTCACTTGCTCTGCAAAATTTTGTTCACCGTAGCCCCATGACATTTCCTTCTATCATATCTTTTGAATTGAGAAATCAAATGTCGACATAAAAAACATTTTGAACAGAACGTCTGTTTCTTAAATTACCACGAATTTCAAAAGCGATCTGAATAACAATTTTCTTTAGCGTGGTAACAGTAAGTGAAATATAGTGCTCGTAAGCCATGGACTAGAATGCAAAGTCTTTTCTAAGGAAACTTTTTAGCCAGTCCAAGGAAGATCACGTAGTATCTTCTCTATAAGCAGAATAAATACAAGTCCCTTAGAAAGTTTTTTGGCATAACTTAAGAGGCAAACAATAACAGGGGTATGTTTCCTGTCAATCTGACACTCCATTTTGAGTGCGAAAGCAACAAAATCAAATGATTTGGAGATCCTATGAACGAGGTTTTGTAGAGCATAGAAAGAACTTTCAAAGTATGTGCAATATCCGTTCAAAATTAGATGACATTATGGAGAAGCAAGCTTCAGTTAAAGTCACAGGAAATTACGTAACAACTAATTATTACACTTTTTCAAAAGCTGACAAAACCGATCACTCAAGTGACCAAAACATGTTTTCTAGATTTCAGTTCAAGGTGAATATCTGTCAGTAGCTCAATTATAAAATAACTAATGAAATCCAGACAAGTTTGTGTATTTGTTGGCTATAGAAGTGTCGATAGGTATTAAGAAAAATCCCTAACATTTGTAATTGTTGCTCAG